GGGGTGATTTCGGATGGCTAACGGGAATTTTTGGAACTTAGAAGATAGCTGATGTCTGCTGCTTCTGGTATTTCCGCACCTGCGGAATTGGGACCGCAGGTGCGGTGTCGCAGATGTGGAAGGAAAGACGCAAATGCAGTTTCGGGGGGGCAAGGTAGGAACCGCATCTGCGGAGTCGCATATGCGACCATTTGACCGCAGATGCGGATTTCGAACCTTAGGTGAAGTTCCGCAGATGTGGAGGAGTGCCCGCAGGAGAGGGATTTTTGTCCGCAGATGCGAAAAGAACCCCTGGGCAGAATGTTTTAAGTTGTTTCATCCGCGATTTTGAGTCATTTTCCCACCATAGCTGAGTATTTTGGGAGCTCTTTGAGGGAAATTGAAGAGGGATTCAAGGAGAATTGATTGGAGGTAAGTTTTATGAACCTAAAACGTGATTTTTTTGTGAGAAATACCTAGAAATTCATGGAAATTTCGTTTAAAATGGAAGAACTAGGGCTTGGGATTTTGAGATTTTAAATTGGGATTTGAAGGACCATTTGAGGTCGGATTTGAGAACTTTTGGTATGTATGAACTCGTGGGATGATAAGGAATCTAATGATGTGAAAATTTTTGAGTTTCAAGAAGTGGGCCCGAGGCTCGAATTTTGCCAATTTCGAGATTTTTGACATTTTTCGATTGTTTTCGCTTGAGCTTTATTCCCTTAGCATATTATGACGTATTCGTTCTGGTTTTGGTCAGATTCGACGCGCGAGGAGGCCGATTTGAGAGGCAAGGGCATAGTGAGCTAGATCTTTAGCCGGTTCAGATGAGTAATGAATGTAAATGATGTCCTGAGGGTTTGAAACCCCGGATTTGCACATCGTAGTGCTATATTGAGGTGAGACACGCGCTTAATGATGAGCGTGGGATCGTTTACTATTTGGAATTGTGACTTGGTCCGTCCCGAGTGATGCTTTTACCGCGTATTTGATTGAAGCTTATTTGTTATCATCATTATTTGGACTGATTGCCGTATTTGGGCTTCGTGCCAACTATTTGAACCCTCTGGGAAGTTTTATCATTATTTCCTCACTGTTTTGACTTACTGCTTGAACTCAGTCATATCATTTTTCCACTATTTTACAACTCAGCCACTTTTTACTCGGTTTTGAAACTGAAATGATATATTAAATGATGTTTTGGGCTGAGAACTACTGTTTTACTAATGCCCGAGGGGCTTATATGATTTCTGGACTGAGTACGACCAAGGGCCAGATGTGAGGATACCATGGGATCGGGCTGCGTGCCACAACAGTGTTATACTAATATTGATATGAGGCCGAGGGCCTAGATTTGATGCCACGAGATGGCTTGATATTGCGCTTGGGCCATAAGAGGCCCCTCCCGGAGTCTGCACACCCCTAGTGAGCGCCGTCGATGATAAATAAATGGATCGGGCTGCACGCCGCAGCGGGTATTGTAGGGTAGTACTATGTGTTGCATTTCTTTATTTGACTGTCACTTATCTGCTTATCTATTGTAGTATCTTTCATATTTCGATTACATTGGTCTTTCGCTTCCATATTACTTGTTTTAAACTGCCGGATTATAGATTACTCTGTGTTCTTCCATGATTTCTTATTCTCAGCCATTATTTATGTTTATACTCACTGGGTCGAAGTACTCACATTACTCCTTGCACCTTACGTGCAGATCTAGGTGCATCTGAGGCTGAGTGAGGATTCTTCAGTTGAGCAGCGTATATCCGGGAGCATCGAGGTAGCTGCATGGTGTCCGCAGCCCTGATCTCTCCCTTCTATCCTTTTGTTTTATACGCATTCCCTAGACTGATATGTATTAGATTGGTAAACCTATATTAGAGGTTCAGACTTGTGACACCAGATCTATATGGGCTATGTAGTAGGATTATTATTTGAAATTCTGTATGTTTAACTCTTACTTCAGACTTCTAATATGATGATTTGGTAAACTAACTGTGATGGCTAGTAATAAACTGCATGAGAAATGGGTTAAGGTTGTTTATTGGCCAGGCTTGCCTAGTAGTGTGTGGGGAGCCATCACGACCGGGGGTTGGGTTCGTGACATCTTCGTTCGATTTTAGTTCATGGCCCTTCTCCGGTTATCTTTGACCTTTCTCCGGCCGGCCATGGTCATTCGAGTCAGACATTTGACTCTCTTGGTTAGATCGGTAACTTTCGAAGCCTTTCTCATCTTTTTTGGGTTTTCTGAAACCCTAATCTCCAAGGTCTTTCGATTTCTTTCAGATCTACTTTAGATCTATGCTTGCTCTAAACTTTTAAGCATCTTCTCGAAGTTTCTTCAATTTTGCTTTTAAAAACGACTCTTTGTCTTTTTCCGATTAGGGTTTTTTCCTGTTAAGTTATTTCAAAATCTCTTCTCTGACTTTTAATATGTTTAAGATGTGCGTTTGTTTGTTTAAAATCTTGCTTGACTCGTCTGTTTACCATCTTTCAAACGCGTTGTTGTTAAAAACCCTAAATTCTTGTGGGTCTCAGTCGAGTTCTAAAAGTTGTTTGTTAGATGAGTTTTTGTTTGGTTAAGTTTTGTCTGATTTATTTTTAGGGCTCGACTATTGTTGAAAACCCTGTGGTGGGTCTGAAACTGTTCGTTTAAATGACTAACTCGATTTGAAGTTCCTTGTTTCAGAATCCCTTTTCCTTTATGTGATTCCTCTGACTCTGGGTTTCTACTATCTTTAAAACTTGACTATGCTTGAAACCCTAACTTTTCAGAAGGTTTCTCATATGTTACTATGAGACCTTTGCATGCTTCTGATACTTTAATTTTTCTTCACTATTGATTCAATGTGACTTGACCTACTTGATTAATATACTTTGAATGTTTGCTTTACTACTAGCTTATTTCTGCCACTATTGCATGTTTGTGATTATCTTTTTTGTTTGGCCTCGCATGTCTGACCCTGTTCACTTTATTTATATGCTGAAATTTCTTCCTTGATTAATCTTGACCTTGTGACTGATTTCTAAAGTTTCCCTTTTTATGAACCCTGATTTCACTCGCCCGTTCAAAATTAATTGATTCTTTTCCCTTTATTGCAATATTTACCTTGCTGAATCTATTTCCAAAATAAGTATATTATGTACTTAGACTTGATTACTTACTGAATGCTTGTACTACTTCTTTTATAGCAATAATCAGTCTGTATCTAAACTGATCTCTTTCCTTATTTGAATTTGTTAAACAATGATTCCTTATTTAAAAGGAATTGATTCTGACCTATGATTGTTTCCATGTTTGTATCTTATTACTTTTCCTTCACTCGTTTTCAAAAAACGATAAATACCCTGCACCCCTTTTCTTTCAAAGACGAACCAATTGCGTTCAAAAATACACACTTCACTCAAACTCTCTCTCTTTTCTCTGTTACTACTTATGTTGCTACCTTGTCTAGCCGGCTGAAAGCCAAGGCTAGGCTGTGGGAAACTTGCCTACTTTTTCTTTCTACATTTGCTTTCTTTACTGGTATATAACTCCTTCACTCTTACATGTTTCTTTACTAATTCCTTCACTCTTACATGTTTCCTGCTTATGTTTAATCGAGTTTCATTATTCTAATTACTCTAACATGTTTCTTTACTAATTCCTTCACTCTTACATGTTTTCTGCTTATGTTTAATCGAGTTTCATTATCAAGCATGCTATGATCTGCCTTTCTTTTTTCTGAAATAATATTTTCTCATGTATGAACCCCAATACCCCATATCCCCTATGTTTGTATATTGGTTTGAGGGCATGTCAGCATCATACATTGTTGTGCAAGAACTAAACCTGACCCTCCCTAGGTCATATGTTCCACATCCCCTATGTGTTTGGTATCTTTGGTTGGTTTGGGGCATGACAACATTGAACATTGATGTGCATGACCCAAACCTGATTCCCTAGGATCATAACCTCCATATCCCCTCTATATGTTGTGTGTTCTAGTTGGTTTATAGGCATGACAGCACCATCTATTATTGTGTGTGCCCAAACTTGGTCCCTGCCTAAGGATATATGCTCCTTGCAATGTATTTCCCAAACCCCTGACCCCTTTATGCAATTGCTGATTATGTGATTTTACCTTTACTACTACTGTTTTCAACTCACCCCTCTCCCCTCTCCGTTCTCCACTCAGTTCTAAATCTCTACTCCTGCACTTCCACCATATTCTTAGACTTAAGTTCTGCCCCTCTTGTGTGAGCCTTGCCTTGGGACCCATGAGCTCCCTCTGAACCCCTGACTGTTATACCTCATTGTAACACGGGTCAGACTAGAGTATAACATATTGGTAATTCTGAGGGTTTAATTAATCAAAGAGAGTCGCCACCTAATTATTCTAAGGTGAATTAAGACACCTATTTTTAAAGATTAAGTCAAACTCTGTCTTATGGTCTTAACCTAAAGATTCTAAGCAAAGGTTTTAAATATTCCAAAGGAAGGTTTTTTAAAGCAACTTTAAAATCCGTTAATAACGGTTAACCGACAAAGCTCAGGTTAATAAGTTGTATAAAAATATGAAAACAAATTATTTGAGGTATTTTAACAAAATATAGCTTACAATATAGTAGTTTAAATTTGAAAGACCTTAATAAACTTTTGAAGAATATTATTACGTAAACAAAGCTTTTAACTAGTTAATATCATATATAAATTTGAAAGGGTATAGTCATTTAGGAAAGACATTGGCTGATGACTAAAATATTAAAAAAAAAGATGCCTTTTCCCTTTGCTTATCTTCAAAAAGAATCAAGGTGAAAAATCATCATAACCTTTAAAAAAAGACGTTTACCAACAAAACAATCACGTTTATTTTTTTAAAAAAATATTCATATTTTTTATGATGTTATAGGAAACAATTTGTCAATTTCAATTGAAGTGCGTCTTTTGTTTTAAGAAAACTGATTCAATTCCGGACTTATATAATAGAAACCTGAAGCTTAAAGGGTTCTTCAAAAAAAATAATTTAAGAGCACTATTAAATAAAATAGATAATATCTGCCAATAACTAAGTGAGAATACTAAGTGAAGAGGTCAAAGTAAATCAACAATCCCAAGTTAAGTATAGAACTAAACTAATCAAAAGAATATAATCAAATTAATTGAAAATTCGAAATAGAGTAAAATGTAAATCACAAAGGCCACCATAAGCGACCCAAGCTTTGCTTGTTCTTCTTATAGATATCCATCATAGTCTAAGGCTCAATAGTAATGACTCCGTGCAGGTATGGGTTGAGTCATGCAATAAGACTCATACTGCTCCAAGTGCATATGTCAAACAAAAAAGAAAAGATAAGAATTAGAAATAAAGATATTGGCAATAAACTGAGATATATAAAAGAACAGTAAACTTTGAATCAAATTCTAAACGTACAACAGGATTATTAGCTCATATAAAACAAATATTTCTTTTTTTTTTTTAAAAAAAAATTGAGTTACCAGCAACTTCTTTATTCTCTTAAGTTTAGGCATATCTTCTTAATCTAAATATTGAGTTAACAAAAAAAAACTTTCCTTTTTCATTTGAAATCTAAAGATGAAACAGATTAATATAGCTAACATGATTATTAAAACTTAGAACAACATGGTCCTACTTCCATCTTAAGTCTTAAAAATTGGATATTAAAGTCCTAGTAGTATGCTTTTAAAAAAAAAAAGGAATGACAAAGCAGAGCAGAATTTTCTAAGATAAATAATACCCTTTGTTAGTACATGCTTTCTTAGCACATGCTCTGCTAATGGCACACTCGATAGTAACAACAAGGAAAGGAAAATAATTTGAAAGGTTATCTTAAGGCAGTGACTTCTATACTTGTAGTATCTATATAAAAGGTCTTAAATCTTATTATTTTTTTTAGACACAAGCTCTATGAAGCAAACCACTTTTAAAACTTATTGCTAAACACGAAAACATTTAAACTAAGCATCCAAATAGTTAATTTCTAATAATATATTTTCTGTTGCATTTACGCTAAAAAAAATAATAAAACTTGGGATATATTTTGAGACATGAAAAGAGAGAGTAGATGTCGTAACTTTAATGCGTAGAGTGAAGAGCGAAATTTGGTACATGCTAGACAAAATGCAACAACGTAATTTTGACAAGAGAAAATTATAACATACTTAAAATAAAAGGCAATTTCATCAACTACTAATGTATTAACTACCATAAGCCTATTCATGCTTTATTGGACTTTTATTTTGATTTAACTAGATATCTTTAACTCCATGGCTTCTAAACGAGTTGGCTCAAATTCATAATTTTAACAAGCGCCAACTAAAACTCATTCAAAAGAACATACAACCATTTTAAAACTTCGAAGACAAAGCGAGAAGAAAAATTTCAGTCACTGACCTTTTGTGGCGCAGGAACTGGGGCGTGTCAACTAAATCTACTATTTTCGACCTCGGATTTGGCTACTTCAGATAATCATCGAACTCCGACACAAACAAAATAAAGGCCCTGTTATGGCTGTAGGACAACAGAGACCAAGAGGTAGAGAGGATTAAAGCTAAATCTTTTATAGAGTAAAGACGAAGATAAACTATGAGAAGTCAACCGAACGGTGTAGGAGAGGGCGTCCAACCTGCTGAAAATAGCCATAAATTCTGGTATTTATAGGTGTAAAATTAAGGTTCTTGGTTCCTTTGAGCGGGAACTTGAAAGTTCAAATTTCAAAAGAAATCAAATGGATCGTTTGAATTTTAACGTTGAAATTTTTTGTTTTGATGGATTCGATCTTCGGGATTCTTTAGTGATATGCTTCAGGTTACACCCGAAAATGGTGGGATATGCTCCAGCACGCAGGGATTTGAAAGTCAAGAATTGGCCAAAAAATGGAGGAAAAGTGAAGATGGCAGAGATTGAAAGTGACATGGGAGAGGAAAAGGGATGGAACTTAATTAAAAAAAATAAACAATAAAATAAATAAGTGCTAACAATTATTTTGGAATTCTTTTGAAGATAGGAGAAGTTTGATCTTGACCATTAATTTAAAAATGACTTGATCTGATGAATTCATATGGCAAGATGTGGGGTCAAAGTGTGAAAGGATGAGGAGAGAGTGTGTTAGGCGTGTGTTTTTGGTCTTTGGGAGCCTAGGTGTTGCTGACATGGATCTTATATGGCGCCTACATGGAGGTAGAATAGATTAGATGGGCTGGTAGATATGGGCCTCCGATTTGGGCTATTTTGGTCTGATTTTTTCCTCTTTTGGGTCAGAAAATCTAGAATATGTATTATAAGAATTGGCCCCATTTTAAATAATATTGGACTTTACCAAGATGATCCAATTTAGATTTAAAAGTCCCTTTTCACTTTAAATTTTACTATGCTTCCGTAATTCTAATAATTTATAATAAAATATATTATATTACATTGTTATAAAAATAATATTTAGTACGTATGCATTTATATAGAATAGAAAATAGAGAGCTAAATTATAATTGGCAAACAATACTTGTATTAATTACCACGATGCATTAGCATAATATGATGGTGATTAAGTAACTAAAATAACAACGATATAGTAGCAATAAATTAATATGCTAAATTATATTAAGGCTAATAATTGTACTTTATTTAAACATCTTGAGGCTAGAAAAAAAAAATATATAACAAATATTTTGGATAAATATATTTAGTAAATTATTAAGAATTAGGAAGCATAGAGAAATAGATTAGGAAAAGGAGGGCCAAAATTGGTTGTCAACACTGGCCCTTCCACACTGCACACATCTCTATTTGGTTATGCAACTTGGGTGTGAGCACTGCCCGGGGTCCCCTTGAGACCCTTAGGGAACTTTGACACACTCAAGTCTGAGAAAGGCTTTGAAACAATGGCACTTGGGGTGGTTTATTCCATAACTCAGTGAGAAAGTCAAGAATCAGGCTTCCTCTGATTGTAACTTTTCTTTTGTGCTTCCTTGATGTAATTCATTATCTAGTCTGTAATAATTTTGTAATAAACATTTGGGGGCTTGGCTAGTGAAAGGGGCTGGGTAATTATGCATGCTCAAGGATAGATATCACGTCTATAGGATCTAAAATTACGCATGTTCAATTCTATAATTTAGATATCATCTGTTGTTCTGCATGTTTAATTCTGCATCTAGATACCATCTATAAGATCCAATTTCATTAAATTCCTAAATGTTCTACATTTAGAGAATATGCCTATAGGACCTAAATTCTGCATATTGAATTCCGCATTTAGAGAACCTATCTATAGGACTTGTCTTAATTTCTGCATTATCACGGTTAAACACCATGCTTAGGAACTGACGGGCTAAAAATCATATATCATTTTCAGTACCCCCTTTCGTAGAAATCATGCCTATATAGATACTGCATGCTTCAATTCACGCTCGACTAGATATCATGTCTATAGAAATTAAAATGAGCAACACTAGATATGCTGCCTATAGGATCTGAAACCAATTTAAAATCAGTTTGACTCTGAATCAGTTTTAAACAACCTTACTCTTTACTTTAACGCGATTTAGAAAGCATGCCTATAAGATCCAAATCGTTCGTCTTCAATTGTTACTGTTTCGCTTCGCTCTGAATAGATACCATGTCTATAGGATCTCTCCTAAACGCTTAGGCAAGCCTTAGGTGATAACAACCAAAGAATTGAATCCGCCTTTGTTAATTTCTACAACCAGCAGGCAGGCCTGATTCAGACTTCTTATCTGAGTTATGTAATAAACTAGTCTGCCTCAACAATTGAAATTTCCCTTACCTTAGTATATTAAAGTCAGACCTTAGATGTATGTGTAAGTCATGCTATTTATGTGCTTTGTTTGAGGAGCATATGAGCCTCTTATTTGTTATATGTTTCCCCTAATGTGCAGCCCCTATATGTTTTGTATGTCGCCTTAGCTTTTTCACTTTTAAAACCTAAAATCAGCCTAATATCCCTCCCCTTTAGGAATAGTAGTCCTAAAAATCCTCCGGGACTGATAGGAAGGAACGGGTAGTAGCATGCAATAGACATCGAGACCAATCCGCGCTTTAATACCTTAACGGGGTGGGAAGGGTAGATATGGATATGATGACCGGTGCTCTAATGCCACGTGTATCCCCTCTTCTAAAAAGTGTCATATCGAGTATCGCATTGATGTGATCCATATTATAAATAAACCTAGGACCCCCCTCTTTTTCTCTTTTATATTTTCAAGTATTTGTAGAAATTATAACCATTTCTTCTCAAAATTCGCCTTTAATTATTTTCAAACTCTTATGTGTTTAAACTTAAATCCCCTATTATTTGAGCCTATATTTGTCTATTTGCTAAATTGTACAAATTCACAATAAACTATTTGGCCGAAAACCACACTAGTGGATCCTGAGGGGTGCCTAACACCTTCCCCTTAGGATAATTTCAAGCCCTTACCCGATCTCTGGTTATCAAATAAGCTTAAGAGTAGATCTTATAGGTGTCCTAATACACCTTAAATCATTAGGTGACGACTCTTCAAAAATGCAAAACCCAGTTCCCAAAAGGAATGAGTTGTCCCATACCAAATGTCACAAACCCGATCTCCCGATTGCATAAGAGGGAAAAAGGGGGCGTGACAACATGGCGACTCTGCTAGGGATATTTAGGCTTTTACCATTTCAGACTGTTATTGTGAATTTATACCTCTTTTGTGCAATTACTTGTTTAATTCCTTTAAGCATTCAATTTCCTTTTTAACTGCAAAACTAACTTGTCTTCTTTGTTTCTTTCCTTTACCATTGCTTTAAATTATGAAACTGCTGTATTTACTGCTTTCTTAATGTGCAAATACATGTCAACATGATTTTAATTATTGTATAACCATGCTCAACATCATACTCCACTCGTGTCAAACAAAATACCATAGCAACGCTTATAATGAGTGGTTGCGCTCTTCCTATATTATTACCCCCTAAATTCGGAAAAGACATATTTGCGGTAAAACCAGTCGATCAGCGATGTAGTCGACGGTTCCGTGCCTTTCCCCCTTGAGTTGTTCCCTTAAGGGTACCGATCTAAAATTACATAGAAACTTTACTCTGTTAAACTGTGCATGTATCATGGTCAAACCTAGCCAGGTCAGTTATGTTGTCCACATAATGACCCTTTAAGATAGCCTTGACCAAAGTCCACTGGGTTTCCCTGAACCCAAACGGATGCCACCACGTTCTGTGCATTTATTTGGAGAACTAAACGCTTCATGCTAATTGTTGGTATTAAATGGTCGAGTCTGGTGGGGGTAAGGGCTTAGCCTTATTTGTCTTGCAGAAATGAGGCACGAAATCCTTAGATTCGGTATGGTCACCAACATCCACCCAAGACTCCTAAGCTGGTGGGAGGATATTCACTCTAGTGATCAAACTCTTGTCCGAAAATATTTGGGTAATCTACCTTCTCTCCTGGAGATCCAACCCAACAACAAGATTATAGAAGCTGCTACTTTGTTCTGGGATTGTGAGAGGGCCGTATTCCGCTTCGGGGACATTGAAATGACACCCTTGCTAGAAGAGATATGAGGATTGGCTGGTATAGCATGGGAAACTTCGGCTTTGTTAATGCCTGAGAACCGCAAGGGTAGGAGCTTCCTCAAAATGATGGGTTTGAAGAAGAATCCAGAGCTGATATGTTTGAAAAAATCATACATTGCCCTTTGACTATTTGTATGAGAGGTACGGTCACAACAAATCCTACCGTACCTATCCTAACGAGTTTGCCATCACATCATTAGGGCACATTCATCGAAGGGTCTTTGTATTCATGTTTTGTTCCTGGGGCTGATCGTGTTTCCGATGAAGAAAGCAAGAATCCACACCAGGCTGACTATGGTAACTAAGACTTTAATGGAAGAGATTGGTGGGCAGCCATTCAGCATTGTGCCCATGATCGTTGCCGACATATATCGGGCCTTGGAGAAGTGTTAACGAGGAGCAAAACACTTCGAAGGCTGCAATTTATTACTTCAACTCTAGCTCGTGGAACATCTCCAAAGGGGTGAATACCGACAAGAGATTCAGCGAAGGGACTGGGATGATCATATCGCTTTCCATCATCCGAGGCGAATGAATTGCATGCCCAATATGTTCGCTCAGCCAGAAGATACCAAAGGATGGGTAGAGATATTTGATAATCTAACTGAAGACCAGGTACAATGGATGTTCGAATGCTTTCCGACCGAAGAGTTCATCGCCCGATCCCGAGACGCACCTTTCCTGATATTGATTGGGTTGAGAGGAACATACCCTTACGTCCCTCTCCGAGTTAAGAGACAAGCTGGCAGGAAGCAGGTTATACCCAGGGTCGACAAAATGAGTCATTTCCGGGCTGATTTCCAGAATGATGATAGTCCTTACAAGTTCCAAGCTCAGCATATGTGGCACTGCAAGATCATAATGGGGAGGGATACCATCGAGTCAGACAGGTATCATGCTGGTTGCGCTCCTTTCTACTCAGGTTGGTTAGAAGACAATCATGATGGTCTGGGCTAGCCAGGGTTTGCTTGAGGTCACAGGATCATAGATGAAAGGGCCGAGGCACAGGTCAAATACAACCAACTGCGGAAAAGAATTCAGGAGTGCGAGAGAGAACACCGCGAAATACAAGAGTCTAACCAGAAACTAATTGAGTAATGGAAGGACATGGCTGTCAGTGCCAACAAGCGACTAGGATACTTGGAGTGAGGCATAGTGGAATTGGAAAGAAAGTTTCTCAAGAGGGTTGAAGATTGTCAAAATGCTGAAGGAATCGAAGGCGGACATCTAGCCAGGGCCTACCTATTGCTGGGACTTCGCGAGTTGGGAAAACTGTTTGACAGAGCCAAGGATGCCGAATCTAGGAAGGTCCTTCTAGGACCAAGTAGATAGGAGCTTTTATTTTCACTTTATCAAATGTAATAAGGCCAATGACCA